TAAACTCATTTGGGCCAGATCGATTCTGCCTGGTGAGCACTCGGCAAGCCAAGCAATATGACCCGCTTTTCGTCGTCTTGTTTATATATGGATGAGCAGTCTATTAATCTATATATGTCATTGGTATACGTTTACGTTTATAGCTTCACTTCAACTCTCTAATATATGACAACCGCCTATAATAAAACAGCAGTCTTCTGCGTATCCTGAATTTGTAGTCGTTCTAACCTGTCAGATTAAAACAAGAAAACCGACAATTCCGAAGCAGAAGCGGATGATTAAAACGCACCTATTAAAAATATTGTGCCAAGATGTAGGCAACACGTAATAAGGGATGAAAATGGCAGAGTTTTCTATCTCCTTTTAAAAAGCACTCAGAAAGCTGCGTAGTGCGACCATTCTCCGTATAGTAAAAGAAAATCAAAGTATGTGGTCCTTCTAAATTTACTGCATTGACAACTGTTTTTCTAATGTTTTTGTCTATTTTTTTTTTGTAGGTTGTCATGTTTTTTACATAAACATGAATCACGTTCTGGTAATTAAGGTTGGATTACCTAACACTTTATGTCAAATTCTTTGCAAACATTTTTATGAAGACTCCAATAGAATTTTTTTTTTATTTTTTTAACTCCTTTAAAAGTGATTGTTTTTTCCAGGCGTTTGTTGGCTATTATCATCTCGGCAAAAAACTGCCTTACTTTCATGCGTAATTTACTGAGACGCTTTCTTTAAGCATGTATTTTTGTGTTATCGGATCTAAATCCCATTGAGCTACAAATGTATATTTTTTTTTATTTGGTCCTTTACAAATTTGAGAGACTGTTTGCTTTAGTTTTTCATTCGGATTAGTTTTGTAAGTAGTTTTCATTTCTTTTAGAAGAACGTCTTGAAATAATGTTTTCTTTTTCACTGAAGCTGGTATTGGGTATTGCTTGGTCTTTAAGTTCTTAATTAAGTTGTGATAAAGAAGACAGATGTACTAAGTGTGTTCAAATCTTTTTTCTTCAGGCGTCGAACTTTATTCTTGTATCGGTTGATTCTCTTGTTACCTTCTTTTTAATTTCTACGATGTAAATTGTAATTAATAGGTTAATATGTGATTTAGCTTAAATTGCTGGTATTGAGTGAATTCAAAAATTGACCAGAACAAATAAAATCAGAGTAGCTTGAACTGTTCGCGAGCCAAAGTCTACTTTACGATAAAGTGAAAGATACTATAATGCAATAACGACAGAAATGTTGAGCATCACCAAGCTTTAGAGTAACTTGGAAAGCCCTGTTTAATTAAGTCAGTCTCTGGTACACAAAGTTATCTGTTATGAGTTTAGGCAAATAAACGAAAGTGAGAAAATTTTACACATTTAATATTAATAATTAACTTAAAGAGATGAATGAAAAAGTGACTATTGAAGAAAAAATTGAATGAAGTTAAATGTAGATATTTAAATTGTTCCTTTGTTTCGACCATGTGGCATTATATAGCGGTATTTTCCTGTCGTATGTCGAGACTTGGAGATATGTCCAGACTTGGTGCTACATGGAGCTGCTTTGGAGCTACTGGAGCTATTTCGAAACTACTTCAAAACTTGGAACTCTGAGACTACTTGAGGCTACTTCGACATTACTTAGAGCTTGTAGTTAGGAAACTACGCTTGGAGAAACTACGTAACGTGGAACTTGGAGCTTGGAGTTTGGTTAAACTTTGTTACTTGGATCTTGGAGAAACTACGCTTTTCAAAAAAAAAAAAGACTAAATAAATCAAGGAAATTTTTATTTATATAAAATTCTGCTACGGTCAAGAAATTATTCTTATACAAATAAGTTTAACATCATTTGAACAACATATAAACTATTTATAAGGCCAAAAGAAGTTAAGAGCCATAGATTTCCGTTTAAACTGTATTTCCAGACTGACTTGTAATTCAGTTATTTAATTTTTAATTAGCTCCCCGCTTATATATCAAAGAAAGCCTAAAAATATTATTTGGTAGGGTAGCTATATTCTATATAAAATAAAATAAAACAATAATATTAACCGGCACTCTTCAGCATGATGGTAATTAAAAAAAAATCAAATGACCGATTTTTCGGCTTTCCAACTAAATCAAGCCAAGCGTTAAAATATAAGTTGAAAAAAACATTACCTGACAATTAATCCCAACTGTAACACACAATAAGCACATATGACAGACAAGATAATTACGGAAATCTACCCATAATAGCCAAAAACTAGTAAATTATTTGTCGGCACACACTAGCACATTGAAGTTTGAGTTCGATAAATGAAAACGAAGTCTTAAACCAACGGCAGCTGGTTTTATCTAAGCGTGAATGCCGAAAGAAACGCTGGGCACGTGCGCAAACCATACTTTGCAATCCAAAGCGAACCGTCTTTTGGTCATTAACGAGGGATTATGGAGAAAATGTTGTTAAAAATCTTTTTGCGTCTTTTAACTCCTTTTCTAACTTGTCTATTTTTCTGTAAGCTGCTGTGCGATCTTTCCAACTTTTTTTCTTCCCCTTGTGGGTGCATCGATTCGTAAAACTGGTAATTCGCAAGTTGGGCTACTTGGTGGTGTATTGCTTATAACAGCCTCCAATCTCCATTGTCATCTTTCTTTTCTTGATGATATTGTCTTTCCAGTATTTCCTTTTGTGTCTCTGTTCTCGTTGTGATAACTCATTTCAAATATTTCCGTTTTTTTTTGCATGTTCCTGCAGTTTCCTAAGAAATTTACTTTGTCATTCTGGATCTGCATTCACCCTTTCTCTGTAGCGCCGTTGCTTCTCCGCTGTCGTTAAAACCATAATCTGTTGAAGAAACAAAAAAAAACATTCAGGTAAACTGTTCTGTTTTTTTTTCTTTCTGTCTTAATTATGTCATTTATGTTACCCAGTGTTGCATATGTTACCATGGCGGTGGTAAAATAATTGACGGTAACATATTTGACATTTTAAACGTAAAATTTTAAAAATTACCGCCCAATTCATTTAAATTTTTACAGCTGGTTAAACAAAAGAAGCATGTATATTTTCGGTTATGTTATCCTAAAAAGTACTAAATTTTATTTAAAAAGACAAAGTAATTGGAAAACATATTTGACATATAATAAACATACGCAACTGCTTTAATAGTTGCTAGGAAACTCTAAATAGTATTTAAAACACACCACCAATGTTCCACAAACACAAACATAAAATGTTGCTTGTGTATTTGCTGAATGGACACTACAAGCAGTGTTGCTAAGTAATGAATTCTTATTACTTGCTGGGGTAACATATTTGATCAATTTCTCGATGACACTTTTAAAAACAATGACCTTGTTTATGATACGTTTTTACCAAGTGGTACCTACCTATCGCTAAAAATCTGATGTGTTCAACACATGACTCTCCTATCTAGTTATTACAGGCTTTTTCCGGTTATTTTGTACAACATATTGCAGCACCTCCATAAATGTTTAGAGGATAAAATAAATATATACATTTTCCACATACATCTACCTCGAAACATTTTTCTATAGATATTCATTTAAAATTAAAATACTGGAAAATTTAAATTTAGCACTTTTCCTACAATTTTTCCATTACGGTCCATTTCGGAAAAATCATATATAAACAAAAATTATAGAGATCGATATCGCAAAAACTTTTATTTCAATAATTTTCATAAAAATCGGAATTTTGCACATTTTGTCAAATTTCTCGAATACGGACCATTTCAGGAAATTTTGACAAAAAGCAAAAATTATAGATATTATTAAAAATAACTTTTATTTAAACAATTTTTTTCTCCAAACATAAATAACAGATATATTCAATAAAATATAAAAACGGCCCCCCATAAAGTACCCCCCCAGATGTTCCGACTTTGTCCAAAATCTAATCATTTCACGTCAGGCCGAAATAAAACTTAAGTTTAAAATTTAATGTTTTTTCTTTATCCTTTTTTTAGTTTTCTTCAAATTTCGAAATTTACACATTTTCTCAAATATCTCGAATACGGTCCATTTTAGAGAAATTATGTAAAGAATAAAAATTATAGAGAATTATATTACAAACAACTTTTGTTTAAACAATTTTTATAAAAAAATTTTTTTTACATTTTGTCAAATTTCTCGAATACGGACTATTTTAGGAAAATTTTGTATGGAACAAAAATTTTAGATAATAATATAAGAAGTAACTTTTATTTGAAAAAATTTCTTCCCCAAACGTAAATAACAGATATATTCCATAAAATATAAAAATTACCACCTATAAAGTACCCTCCCAGATGTTCCGACACTGACCAAAATCTACTCAGCACATTGAACGCTAGAACAAACCTTAAGTTTGAAATTTGGTGTTTTTCTGTGTATCGGTTCATGAGTAATGCGACACACAGACACATAGACACACACACACACAGACATCATCGCGAAAATAGTTAAAACGGATTCAGGGGACCTCAAAACGTAAAAATCCGTCGAAAACTCGAGGTCGAAAAAAATCATGATTCCTATACTTTCCTTATATCTGTATACAGATAGGAAAGTAATAGGAAAGTAAAAAAGCAAAACAGAAGAAAGAAATTGCTACTAGAGAAAGGTTAATAAAATTTATCCTAAAGTTGCAGAGCGCAAATCATTTCTTTGACAGCCTTCAGTGACAGGTAACATATATGACATTTGCCTTAAAAATAACCAGTTTTTTAAATTTTGATGTCGAAATTAATGACAACACAACTATTTCAAGTTATCCTGGAATTACCCAATTAACAATTTATGTCTTTTACTAATTTTACAATACCTTAACCATCTGTTTGTGTGTAAAATTGGTATAAAAGAATTTTTCAACTACATTGTATAACATTCTCTCAAAATACTTTCTATACAGGCTTAGTCGCTTCATCCCAATTAAAAAAAAAAAAATGCGGAAAAGATTTTGTGCTTTTCCCATTTTTCAAACAGTTTGCCTGAAAATGTATTAACTAATTTACATGTACGTCGTTTTGCAGATATCTACCGACTGATGCTGACTGACAAACGCTACGGTCTCTCGGTGAACCTAATGGCCACCAAAGTGATGCCTTCGCTTCTCCCCCAAACGGTAAACCCCTCCCTCAATTTGGAGCAATTCACGATACTGATCGAGGTGCTGCAGGACATGCTCGACCAGATCGATCGCAATCAAAGGAACAAGCTCAAACTGGACAACCTTTCACTGCCGAGTCCTGAACGCCACAGGCCGCTTAGACACCAATATAGCTCGGATAATATGCACGTGCCGCCATTTAATATACCGAATTTGAGGATCGAACAGAGGAAGACGTCGAGCGCCGAAGATATGGCTCGAAAGAATTCGACGGGTACGCGTGAGTTTTACGAATGTTTTGACTTGATATATATAAATGTTAACACTATTTATAGTTAATTTGAAGAAAAAGGAAAAGTAAGGTCTCAGAATTAGAAATACAATAAAAAGAAAAGGGCGCTATTAAAATATAATAGATTACATTCCTCATGAATACAAATCTTCGGATAGTTCAGAACATTTCTCATTTAAAAATATTGAAATTATCAAATTTACTGGGGCTATTCCTAATCAAATAAGAAACATAATATGTAATTTAAAAAATAAATCATCTGAAGACCATTGTGAGATTTTAATCAATTTTATCAAAATAGTATTAAATTATCCTCTAATGAAGCTAAAAAATTAATACAAGTCTATTTCCTGATCATTTAAAAATATCAATAGTTATTTATTTCCATACATAAAAGTGGTGATATTATTTCTAAATATTTTTGGCCAATCTGGCTGGTTTTTATACTGTCAAAACATTTAAACATTTCTTTAAAATTCAAATTAATGATCATTTTAAATTAAATAATATTTTTTCCACATCAGTGTGGTTTTCGTTGTAATAAATCTACCACTTAAGCAACAATTTATGTGCTAGAAGAAATAATAGTGGACTAGGGCAAGGAGAAATAGTCAACTCAAATTGACATATTCCATGACATTTTAATGGAGAAATAATACTATTATAATTTTGACGTATCAAACATTTAATTAATTAAATAATTTTTAATCAACAGATCACAGTATACCTGTAGTAAAACTTAACATTCTGATTTTTCCAATAAAACCTAGGTATTCATACGGAACACTGTTGCCTAAAAAGTTATACAGGGTGTTTAAAAAAAAATGGCTACGTTGCTAAAACACTGCAAAATAAATTGGGCTAGATACAAGATACAGAGTATTGAAAGAAAATGTGTACACATTTTTTACGATTATATCGAAACTAATGGCAACATTATAATGAAATTTTATACTAATATATTTTGGAAGCTAACAAATCGCATAAAAGGCGCTACTTACACAATTCGTACTGAGTAGTTTAAATATAACATTTTTATGGTTAAATTTTCTAGAACAAATTTTGTTTGTACTCAAACCTCATTTAATTTTACCCCAAAAAGGTACTTTTGGTAAATCTTTGCCGTTTTCAGATTATTGTTATTTGAAACTTATGAAGTAATAACTGATGATGGTATAAAGTATTTTTAAAAAAACCATTACCTGTTTATTTAAAATCAAAAACAATAACATTATTCTTATGCTAATGTTATTAATTTAACAAAGAATCACTGGAAGAATATTAAAATAAATTTGACTGAAAACATGAAATATTCACTTAGTTAAAGTAACAGTCGGTTGCAAGAACGATTGTGTAAATCTCTCGTCAGCTACTGAACACATAACTAACTGAAAGTAAAACTGGCAACGGCGCTTTTCCGACTGACATTCTGTCGCTTCACAGTTGATCACGGGTGATTTTTAATAAAATTTAAATTAATAAAGTTAATTTGATAGTGTTTTTTCAACAAATTAAATACAAATAAACTAAAAAATAAAATTGAGGTTCAACCTTTACTGCTATTGTTAAAAAAATAGGTTAGTCATCCTCACTCAATGTAATGCCAGGTGTTTCAATGGATATTGTGCTCAATGTAAAGAATTACTCTCAAGAATTAATATACCTACACAGTAAACAGGTTTAATTTTCAATATTATTACTTATATTTCCTTTAAACATTAATGTTAATACTGCCCCTATCTTTTTTCGACATCAGCTCATATTTTTTAACAGACAGAAGCAAGGACAGTCGGTTCAGAGAAAAAATGTTTTACACATGAATATAGTTTCTTAAAATAAATAAAATGGCTTTAATAAAGAAAAGTTTCCAATAAGGCATTAGAAAAAGAAGAAAATACTTATTTAACTGCCCTTCTAGTGCTGGATTGAACATTTGTGATTTGTGTAACAATTGGTTTAAGGCAACAGTATTTAAGTACATTTTGTCCCTTTTGTATAAACTAAAACTATTTTTTTTGTATTTACTTCACATTTTCTCTTCCCCTTTGTCACACCATGGAAAAGCACATGTTTCTAAGCTAAATCTCGCCCTTTCTACTGTGTATTATTATAAAAAAAAGTACATAATTAAAAATATGTTTAATTTTTATTATGTGTGCAAACCCCATTTACAGTGGTGATATTTACAATATATTTTCTATTTTTAACATACTTTAAAAAAGGAGGAGGTTCTCAATTCATCGAAATATATTTTTTTATGTATATTCAGCGATAATTCTTTACTGTATCTGATGATCAGATTCATAACAAAATAGTCACTCTTCGTTTTTGGAGTCGACAGTTTTTTTTTTTAATTAATTTTATAACTTGTACATTTTTCAAAAATCAAAGTTAAAACTGTTAAAAATTGGAAAATTTAGTATCTATTTTTTAGCTAGAAATGGAAAACTGGAGGAGGGATGGTGAAATCTCAATGGTATGAGAAATAAATTAACAATTAACCTATTCTTGAAAATCAGATACGGTTCCTTTTTGAATCCTTTTAATTTGGATGCTATATTTCTTTCCTAATAAACTAATGCTATAATTTATTTTTGATTTAAGAACAATTTTCTATTTGTACTATATCGAAATTTCTAGATAGTTAAGAAAATTGGATTATTATAATTTATGATGATTAGCTTTTATTAATTGTGTAATTGTCGAAATTTAGAATATTAAATAATTGATAATATGTATAAGTTACATTTATTTACCTAAATATATATGCTTTCCCATATTTGTAATTTACAAATTAGGTCATAAATAAAACGCCAAATTTATTTTAAAATTTTATTTTTTAGTATTTTATTATTATACACAAAATACATAAACATAACAAGAGAATATATTAAATGTACAATAATTAAAAACGCATTTAATTATTAATTATTAAACAATTCAAATTCCAGAAAATAAAACAAATCGATCCAGGATTTCTTTTTGGTAACGACAGGTTTCAAGCTGACTATACTCTGTTTTTAAACTAGGAGAAGCGAATTGAAAAGACTCATTTACACAGGGAAAAGTAACTAGATTTGTTACTAAGAGCAAATTTCGAAATATAGTCGTGTTCAAAATTTATGAAATAATTATCTTTATCGGCCTTAGGCGGTAAACGGCCAATGAGCGGTTAAGAAACGAATAAATCTCATAGAAGTAATTTTTTAATTGGTCCCAGACAACGGTCGCAAATTTCACATTATTGTGATCTGAAATGTGTGTCTAAAACGAAATGTCACTGTCAAATTAAAGTCAATATGGTTGTTGATTAATGTCAGAAATACTTTTATTTGCCAAATAAAGGTATTTAAAAAATATATTACTTTATTTGACATGCGTGATTAACAGTAAATAAATTAATTATTCATAAAAACCAAAAAACGGTATGTAAAGTTTCATATTGTTAGAGTCGGCGAATTAGGATATCGCAGCCTCTGGGGTCGACGGTACCACGTCTGCCCTGTTAGAGTCAGCGACTTAGGATATCGCCTCCACTGGGGTCGACGGTACCACGTCTGCCCGTTAAAGTGTCTAGGACTAGGAGAGAGCGGGGACTTGACTTTCGAGCAGCCGAACGCTATGAAGTGATAGGCAATATGCCGTTAAAGACATTCCTTATTTTGTTTCTTAATTAATTACATTTCAAACATTGTGTACGAGATATTTAATAAAACATTATAAAACCATGTTAACACGTGTTTTGTGAAGTGACTATACAGGGTGTCATAGTATATAGGGTGATAAATCATTTTAAAGCAATAATTTTGAAGTTAATTCTTTTAACTTCTAACAATATAATATTTATACCGAAAAATCAATGTCAAGCTTTGTACATAACCTGATATATATTTAAAAATAATCTCAAAATATTAAGAAAAGTCAGCTGAATATAACTAAAAATGTTTATAAATGGTTTTCAACGTATTGAAAACACAACAAATATTACAGTAACTAAAATATTCATTAATAGTTGTAGTACTTGCAAGCAATATGATATTGATAATAATAACTACACTTAATATAAAACCAAATAAAAAAAAAACTGCAATATTGGCGCTTGTACAAAGTTTTAAACTGAACTTACAAACGATAAAATTATTGATAAAAAGTAAACACCCTTTTTAAATTACTACAAGCCGCCACTGCACACTGTATAATATAACTCTTATTATAACATCTATAAAACGTTTTAGAACTACTTTCGTGAAAAGGTACTGTAAAACTCCTATTATAATGTTTTTAGAACTTCACTTTGTAACCTCTATGAGATGTGCTATAAAAGTCTTGCAGTTGAAGACATTTGACATTTACATGTATTTTAGGATTATATTAAACGCGTAATGCATGCGAGTTTAAAGAGCCCGGAATTGCATCCCATTGACGTAGACGGGATGTTTTTTTGCTAGCTAGCTGGGCTTCCTTATTTTTCAAATTAACTAGAGACGTCGCATTGTAAGATTGTTCAGAATGAGGTTTAACCTTCCACTGGTTCATTTCCAACTGATCGTTAAACCCTTTGAATAATCGTCTAAATCCTTTGAATCATTCGTATTTATTTTTTATTTTCTCTTCCAGGCGGAATGTTAGGAAGCTGGTGGTTCGGCGGGTCACCTTCTTCGCCGGACAGTAATTTCCTGAGAGTAGTAAACGCGTTCCCCAACCGAAGACTATCCGATAACACGTTGATGACACCGAAAATACGGGTGGCTCCATCGTGCGCTTCCTCGCCGGGAGGCACCCCAGGAGGCGGCCTGCCCATCAGGAGGCATTCTAGTATCGGTCCGCAGGAGAGGCGGGGATCCACCGTCAATCTGTCGCCCCCTACGGTGAGTAATCGATGTCACTATATTAGTTTCGATATTAGATATTATATAGTGTCCCTTCTGTAAGATGGAGCTGAACTTTAGAGTTAATCGATGTCATGATGAGCAATCGGTATTTAAATAGTTTTATATTTATAATAAAACTGCTATATAAAGGGTGTCCCATTAGTGCGCAATTGATTGATATTTCAGTTTGTGTTATGGACACTCAAACAAGTTTCAAATAAAAGTTATATTAATTTAAAATGATTTATAAATATTCAGGGTATAACGCTTTTGACTGGCAAATAAAAATAAGGTGTAAGAACCATAAAATTAATAGAAATATAAAAATGTATATTTCAGTTGAAGATTGTTCTAGTAATACTTTAGTTATAACTAAAATATTTTAGATTATTTTAGATTTTTTTTAGTTTATTTTATGTTATTTTTGGTCATTTTAGGTTATTATAGGTTCTCCAAGCAAATTATTTTTTTATGAAATTGCAGAATAACAGTTTAAAATTGAATATAAAATTCACAATTTTCTCTTAATAGTTGGCAAAAAACTGAAAGATCAAACGAACTTACCTGAATTAAAGTTTGATCTTAATTATACGAAATAAATGCCTTGTTTGAGATTACTATAGGTAGTACTCCGCTTTCCCCGATCTGTAGTTACGTATTTTAAAGTCTAAAATCTCTCAAAAAATTTTAAAAAATTCCAAAATAACAACTGGTCTGCGTTCGTTTCGTCCTACTCAGATATACTCTTACGTTATTCTATTAAAGGGGTATTTGTGTTTGAATCTTGTAGATATGATCTTGGGTAAAGGTGTGTGTGTGTGGGTTCGATCATCTCGAACAAGGCGTTTCAAATAATTAAGATCGACCTTCACTTCAGGTAAGTTCGTTTAATCTTTCAATTATATTCCACGCCTTGTTCTCAATGATCATGGGTAGATGTTTAAAGGAAAGATGAAACACAATTACCAAGAACATTTTTTTTTTAATCTCAACGAATAAACCATTATTCGAACTGTGTTACTTGCACCGTACTAAATTATTAATCAAAATGCAAGCATTAATCAATATGTAATTATAGTACATTGACATATTATATACACAATCAAAATACATAGCAAACATGATAATACAATACAAATAAACATAATGAATAAGTAATAACTAGTTGAGTATTAGCTGCTGTTAGTAACATCCTCCAGGCCCGGCAGAATACACAGCTTAGTGACAGGTCTGGTATAATGAACCAACTTTGTTTTGAATTGAGCCATTCTAAAGATACCATCTTTCCCTGGATATACTTTAAAAACTTGTCCCAAAAGCCACTGGTTTCTGGGAAGTTTCTCATCCACAATTAGTACAAGATTATCCAATTTAAGAGGTCTCGTTTTTTCATGCCACTTTCGACGTTGTAGAGTCTTGTAGAGTATTCTTTGCGCCAAAAAAATTTGGCTAAAATTTGCGCATTTCTCCATTGCGTTCGTGAATTTTTTTCATTTACTTCATAATTATTTACCATTTCTGCACGGAATAACAAAAAATGGTTTGGTGTTATAGCCTCAGGTTCTAAAGGATCAATCGAAATGTGCGTCAAAGGCAGAGAATTTTAAATATACTCTATTTCTAATAATAAAGTCATAAGAACTTTCTCTTTTGGATTTGCACATTTCAATGTTATCTTCAGAGCTGTCTTAACTGATCGAATCATTCTTTCCCATATACCTCCTTGATGGCTAACCAGACCACAATTGAATTTTCAGCGAATTTCTTTTTCAACAAGAAAATTGTTCATTTTAGTTTGATTTAAATTTTCAGACCACTCACGTAGCTTTCTTTCAGCCTCATCAAATTCATACCATTGTCGCTCCAAAACTCTGGATTTACTGCTCATAAATGAGCAGATATCGATGAAATAACAGCAGGGGAATTACTAATCCACTTCGTCGTTTCAAACCCAGCTTGCGAATGAACGAATATAATATTTTTACAGCTTCTATAGCTTGAACTTCAAAAACAAATGAATCCGGGTAATCGTCGACGTAATGTTGCTTTTTGATTTTCTGCGTTACTATTTTTAACAAATTAAGCCTTTGAAGGTGACGAAACAATTCCAAATATCATCTCGTTAATTTCGTAAACTTTGGGTGATTATTTTGAACCGTTAAGTGCATCTATCTTCATTCCTAATGTGGACCTGGTGAAACATCTCCTCTGTGTCACCATTCACGGCAACTGGACCTTGTCTAAATCTCCACGTTACTAGCACAATACCAAATTATTAATCAAAATGAAAGCCTAATTCAATTTTATTACATTGATAAATACGCAATCAAAATACATAGCAATGATAATACAATAAAAATTAGCTGCTGTTAGTAACAAACTCTTTTGGTATACACTAAGTACCCTAATAACATTATTTTATTTCAAAAACAGACTTAATTCTCACGAATTTATTCGTAATGTAACTTATAACTCAAAATAGATACATGCAATGAACAATACGAAATCGGAATTGCAAAGGCAAAATTATGTTGATTGTGATTTATAACATTTATAAAAAGTATATGAATAAGGGTAATTTCCTGATCATAGTATATGAATAAAAAGTTCACTGGTTTATTCGGTCGTTTTTATTGTTTCTAGAAAATTTAAGTACAGGCACTACATATGTTTCGGAAACATTATTCTATCGTCTGGTGCCAGGGGGAGATATCGTGCCATATTTAAGTTTGCTAAAAAAGTCACCCTTTCACCCCTACTATCATCCCTTCAATTTTTTTAAATGGCTTGCCCCATTTTTTTATCCATTTTTGGATTGCTCTCGTTTAACTAATTTCAAAAATGTATAAAACATGGGGATAAAAGTAATTAGTTTACGATCTACAGAATTTTAAATTAAAATAAAATTGAATTGTGCAAAACTTTTATTTTAATGATTTTGTCACAAGCGTTTCCAATGACAAAACGAATACTTCATTTTTAAAATTTAATATAAAAATTGTTCAAAATGTCCACCATTTACTTCCATACAATGGTATAACCTAGATTGAAAAGCCTCCCTGACATTACCGAACACGTGTGCATTTAAATGTAGGCATTAATACTCTATTCTTTGTCGTAAATCTTCTAAAGATTTTAGTTGGGTAGCATACATTTTTGTTTTTAAATAACCCCATAAAAAGAAGTCTAGAGGTGATAAATCCGGTGATCTAGGTGGCTACTCCATCTCGAGCCTCTTCTACCTATCCAACGATTGGGGAAAGTTTCATTTAAAAATTGTCGTACTGGCAAAGCAAAATGTGGAGGCGCTCCATCCTGTTGAAAGACAAGCAAATCTTCAGAAAGATTATGATCATTTTCTATTATAGTTGTAATACGTGGATCAATAATTACTTCTCTCAATAACTCAAGATATGACTCTCCATTTAAGTTTCCGTCTAAAAAGAAAGGTCCGACTATGTGGTCACCTAGGATACCACACCATACATTTAACTTTTGAGGATTCTGTGTGTGGTATTCACGCAAAACATGTGGATCACTCTCAGCCCAATATCTGCAATTATGTCTATTAACTAAACCATTAACTGAAAATGTGCATTCATCCGAAAAACAAAGGTTGTGCAACAAATGTGGATTGTCAGGCAAGCGCTGACTCAATAGTTCACAAAATTCAAGACGACGATCAAAATCATCTTCATACAACTCTTGAACCAATTTAATTTTGTATGGATGATACTTATGCTTGTGTAATATTCGATAAACTGTGGAAGATGAAACACCTACTTCTCTGCTTATTGTTGTCAGTGACTGTGCTTGTTGATTTTCAAGACTTACTTGTCCTAAAACTGCGACTTCAATTGCTTCGTTATTTACGAGTTCCAGTCGGTTATGTTTTTTATTGCCAACTGACCCGGTTGATGTAAATTTATGCATAAGATCAATTACATACTTATGAGTTGCATGACCTCCTTGGTGTGTTTCGTTGAAAATTCTAGCAGCAGCTCGTGCAGAACTGTTATTTTTGTAGTATAAACCTACAAGTTCAATTCTTTCTTGTAAACTGTAAACCATTTTCAAATCAAATAAATAACCTCAACAAATCAATGTGCACATGTATCAAAATACACTATAAAAGTAATTTAAATTCATTTTTCAAATCTCCAATACCTTTACCATGTATCATAAAAAACTTCAACAAGTTTTTAGCGGTACGATTAAGGTATAATGTATTCTAAATCCAATTTTGCTGCAGTCAGTAAGATGAGATGTAAAAATTTGTCACTCAAATAATGGAACCCTGTAGATCATAAACTAATTATTTTAAACCCCATGTTTTATACAGTTTTGAAATCAGTTAAACGAGAACAATCCAAAAATGGATAAAAAAAATGGGGGAAGCCATTTAAAAAAATTGAAGGGATGATAGTAGGGGTTAAAGGGTGACTTTTTCAGCAAACTTAAATATGACACGATATATCTCCCTACGAATATTAATTGACGTAGTTTTTTGTTTTTTGTAATAATCAGTCCTTCAAAAGTTACTTAAGGTGGATACTTTTATCTGAAAAGCACTGTATATAAAATTATATAAAACATAGCATATTTTAAAGTGAATATTATGCAAAAAGGGTCTGCATAGATCTTCATGTATTAAATCATGCATTATGACAGTTATAAACATATTATAAACTTGTAATAGTATAGTATTTCACAGTGCATACTGTGTATTTTTTAATATTAAACAGTGGAATAGATATTGATATATAAAATAAAAGAACATTTGTATTTTATAAAAGATGTTGATTACCTTTGTGAATATTTCAGAATCATTTTATTCGTTTTATGCCGGCCACTTTTACATAACATCTCCTAATTAGGCCTTGTGCTGCTTGGTCTCCACGCTATAAAAACTCATGTTTCAGCGTTGGGCATAATGAACAGGAAAGGATCTGCAAAGATCCACAGACATTGTCCTACATATGACTCAGTTATAAACC